CAATCAATCAGCATTGTGCAAAAACAACCTCTAGGGACAACATACTTAAATATTTAGAGTGCTATAAATAACTCTGTGACAGTCACCATACAGCAATGAAATAGTGTTTCACCCAGACTTCAGAAGACTATGAATAAACAAATAAAGTTTTCATATTCAATCAAAGCTGACATTTGTGTCTGTATAGCTCTGATAGTTATGACAGGATGATAAGCAGTAGTGTTTCAAGAGTGATACACTTCCAATTTAACATACCAATTTCTTTTATTAACATACACATTTTAGATACTGTAAGTGAAAACGATCGACCAGTTCATCAACAGTGTTGATTTAAAATGCAAACAAAAATGTGCACAATGGATAATGGTGATTCTCCCGGAATTTTGACAGAACAATAAGTAGATAACTTGGTGAAATTAATCATTTAATCTTATTGCAGTCATCATATCTACTTTTTTATTATATCTTAGTATCTTCTTATTTTTACTGAAATATTTACAGAGTTCTGAAATGAACAAAACTGATAGAAGTAACTTTCTCATTTTACAGAAAATGAATTTGCTGGTAAATAAGTAAGATACTAACTAGAAGAACTTAAAGTAGCAAACAATTGATTAAAGTATAAAAGATTGAAAATAAATTGTTTCACTGAATCATTCTCATGCACGTTATCTTCACTCCATGGTAATGAATAATATCCTTTGGCTTTCTCATGCATACAACTAGGCACATTGATCTGAGAATTTGTGATGCTTAAAGACCGCAGGAGAATTAAGATGGACCAGCTGGAGACTGGAGTTTCAACTTGTTGTCCATCATTACCCATCAGTGGAAGTTATTTTAAGCTTTATATATGCAACCTATCATGCCACACCTTGGATTTTGATTCACTAGGAATTTCAAGAATCTGTTTGGTAAAATATTATTTATTAATAAGGTACTTGCACACCAAAGAATCACAATATACCAGACAGTGGACTGTCAATCTTAAAATGTTGGTCCTGACCTTTTTTTCTCTATCGTATTTTAAAAAAAAGATTTAACAGGAACCATTTTTTATTGCCTTCTTCTAAAAAGTCATCAAAGCATGCACAGAACTTTGACAATTTAATCTTCTTTATAAGCTGTGGCAATAATGAAGCTAGGGCAACTTTGTGCCTTGTGAGCAAAGCTTGAATTAGAGAGCTTTCATGAAATACTCTCCCCAGTGAACTCACCAGGTGCACTACACAGGAGAGTGAAAAAAAAGATGTTCAGCATAATGTAGAAATGAATGTGCTTCGCATTAAATTTTATTATTTTTTTTAATTACACAGTTTAAATATTATCCCTTTTCATTGAAATTGTATTGCCTTCTTCAATTATTCAGCATTTCTTAGTTGAAAGAAATATATAATTTTTCCTCCTAGCCATCATGAACTCTCTGGAAAATAGAGTCACATCAGATCAGTTGCATGTGGCATTTAACCTGTCAACGCAATTGGATTTGAATCAAAAGTTTCAGAAATGGCTTGAAATCATAGACTAAATGTTTCCTGTAATTATAAAGACTATATTGTCAAGTGCTTCACTTTAAATGGTGATTTCCTGTACCTATGCTTGTCCTTAGGTGCTGTTGTTAAGGTGATTTAGTTCTGCATAACATAGTTAATGTGCAATGTTAGAATTAAACAACAGATAGATCTGGAGGGTTAAAGTCAGTATGTGTCAAGACAAAGAAGCAAGGAGAGCTCCCTGTAATTCCACTGCAAACTGAACAGATTGCCTCTCTGAAGGAACGCAAGATAATTGCCAACCACTTGCTACACATTATTGTATCTTTTAAATGGATGGCCTTTGTGTTGAAGCTGCAGCTCTCCAGTGATCTTGTTGTAGTTGCTCTTGATGACTCATGCTTTTGGCTTGTCTCTAACTCTTACCTGAGATCCTGCTTGAGTGGCAGAGATTAGGCTGTAGTAATGGAGTTCCCATGGTGAATTAAACTTGCGCCTCTCTGATATCAAGCTTAGAAAGAACTGGCTTTGGAAAGCTAACAGTTTAAGCAGCATAACACAGTGAAGGTACCATAGGCAGTAATGCAGTTCAAACTCATAATTAATATTAATTGCTGAACCTTATAAGAAACACACAGGACTATGTGATAGTTTTTTTAAGCTAAATGTTGAATGCCTATTTGAGTTTTATTAAGCACCATTAGTTAAACCTCTGATACTGTTGTTAATAACAGGAAATAAGTACAACTGGATGGAAACACAAATTTGTAAAGCTGCAATGAACTTTAGGACAAAGATAAGATGTGTTTTCTGGTGGTGTGCTCAAAGTTAATAGATGTATTTATGGTGGCAATAACAGACAAGTGTTGTTACATGTGGGCATAAGATTACAGTCTACTCCCTTCCTGCACATCTGTTGTGTACGTTTTTATGCAATCTTAAGAGTGTTTTCCATTTGGCTAAACTTACCCATTACATAGCTTTGTCTCTCCTAACTTTATTTAGTTCAGAAATTCTTTCCAATTGCTCCCTGCTTCTTCTCAGACTCTATGTGATGGGTGTTCTTTGTAACGGCATTTGGTTTAACATTAATGTGCTGTTGTCTGGTCCTGAAGACCCTGGGTTCTGTATTCACTTGCTGGGCTGTGTTTACTGTACGTAAATCCATATCATCAGGAAATTACTCACTAGAGCATTACAGTTTTTGCACTAAAAATACACGTGTTTATAAACTTTAGGAATTTGACTTAAACTTAAAATTGACTTTAATCACCATCCTTGGTGTCGCGGTTTCAGTAGTCCTTCAGTACATGTTTGCAAAGCTAAACACTGACCTGCAGAGGGCAAGCAGTCATAAAGCTGAGAGCAGTGGAGCTAGAATTCCAGTAGTCAAAGCTGAAGTAGCAAACCAAGTCAAAGACGAGTAGATACAAGAAAGATAGATGGGGATAAGAGGGGATCCTGGGGGATTAATTGAAGCACAAGTATGGGTCCAAACACAAAGAAGCAAACGAGGGATTCCACACAGAAAAGCAACTGCTTGTTTTAAATCAAGTGCGTCAATACTGGAGTGTACAGAATATGTCAACAGGACACCAATATGGATTCCAATAGGAAAGAACTGGGAGAACTTCTTCATACCAATATCCTAGGAAAAATGCATGTTTTCAGAATGCTTGGTACACCGACATAAATTCCTGTGGCTGCACTGGGCGATGTTTGTTTTATTTTTAAAACAGAATCCAACCACTAAATGACACAGTGAAATCATTTTAAATTTGAATCAAGTGCTTATTACATAAGCTCAGCAATTTCCACCACCCCTACAAGATTTTTTCTTGGCTTTCACATATAAATATTAAAGCTTTTAGGTTAAGAATTGCTATAGTGATGGATAGAATTTTCTTAAGGATAATATGAAAGCAAAGTTATTTTTAAATAAACCAAAACCAGACACAAACAAGGTTATGCAAAGACAATTCTGCAGATTTCAGTATGAGTCTGTATACATGAGTTCTAGGGTATTTGGAAATTTAAATGAAAAATGAGCATTTTGCACTTGGTGTTTTACATTTCTATAGATTAAAATAAACATGAAATCCTTTTACTTAGCTCACGCTTCTTCTGCTACTAAGGCAAAATCCCTCTTTCCAATGACCTACATGAAATTGTGTCCTCACTATGTAATCTAAGCAAAACATGGCTTAGAAAATCAATTTGATTCACCCCATTAAAGTCAACCATGCTTATCATTTCCCAGCGGTTTCTCATCTAACACTTACAATACACTGAAAGCACCGAATAGTAAAGGTTAGCAAAATCACATCTGGTCATTGAATAACTTGACCTAGTTGAAGTAAATCTGAAGTGCTGTGGATATTTTTTACAAGGAAGTGCACTGGCAGACAATGGGTTTTAATGCATCTGAATTTACTTAAAATAGAATAATGCAAAAGCATAAGAAATGGAGGCTGAATTACAAATACTGCATTTTATATTCAGTCTTGTCTGAGTGGTTTTGAAGGCTTTTGGCTTTCCATACTTCAAGACTTGCTTTCAGTACAATTTGGGGAAGAACTAGTTTTGGTGAGTGGTAGAGAATTCAGTTATCTGCCACATAAAATCCTTTTTCCATTTGTGGTTCCATTTCATTTCATTGTACGAGAAAAAGAAAGCAATGTCTTATTCAGAATAAGCATACCATATTTGGGAAAGCTCAATATTGGGTATGACATTAAAGGAAGTAAACTTTTCTCCCAGTCTCACATCATCCATTGTTTGCTTTTTCCTCTCTTTCTTTGCCTATACTGTACAACTCCTCTTTTCCAAAACAGACTCATTTAATACAAAAACTGTAGTTGTCAAAGATTTAGGACGGGCAAAGAAATCAGAATGCAAACTGAAGAACATTAACATTCCACACTGCATAATCTTACTAAAAGCAATTGAATGAGCATTATTCATTGATCTTGAATTAATGGAAGAAACCCAATAAAAAATGGAAAATTCAATGTACAGTATGAAATGGTTCAGTAAATAAACACATTGCTTATAACATTTACCATTTGCAGTATGCATCAATGTGTATTGGAAAGAGTACATTTTGCGGTCTTAGTTATAAAAGAACCCAAAGGGCAATACCACAACCAAAATACAGTTGTCTTCGCATGCTGGCAGTTCAATGTTTACGGGAGACCTCAACATCTGCTTCTCAACAGTGAAAATCTGAAATCTAAACATTTTCCCACAACTTGACTGGCAAACATCTGCAGTGTTATTTCACCATAATCTTCTATAATTATCACACCAGTCGGTTATTCTGTGATAAAAGAAAACAGTTTTATACAAGTTAGTGGGAAATAGTATGTGTATGTATGTACAGTATATGAAAAGACATCAATGGACTCTAGTTGTCATTTCCTACAGTTTTATCACTTTTTTTTTGCTAAAACAAGGGAAAACAGTCAGTATACCATATTGATACAAAAAATCTACAATCCAGAGATATACAAGATATACTACTTTTATTGAATTTTTGTAACAAAATATTTCTTATTCCCTTTCAAAAGCAATCTTTACATTCTGTCACAACAAAGGATTCTAATTACAAATAAGTCTACACATTTTGAAGCTGCATGACAGTATACTGCATATATGAAATGTCAAAGAAGTCCATCATGTAATGTCTATATTTTATAATTAAACCTCCTATGTTTTAATATATAAGCATGCATAATATTTTATTCATGAACAAACAGCTGATAGGTTTAATAAATCATGAGGTTCAAAATAAATTATTTATTGACGCATTTTGGTTTCCGGAACACATTTGAATTAGGTAGGTGAAGCATCATAGTGATTTGATTAAGAGTTTAAAACCATTATTGGCCTTAGATGTAAAAGTTGTGTCTTCCTGTGTGGAGTTTCAGCTTTTCTAACTGAAAAGTGTACTTAAACAGAAGAGAAAGTGTGAGATGTGTAGAAACCTTACTGCTTATTGCAAAGTAAAAACACAGACTTTTTATAGAAAACAGCTGCATCCCCATGTACTGTAATTTATAAAGGTACAAGTAAAATTTACTTCCATGTTGAACAGTAAGTGAAAGAAGAAAACCATTTAAGAAGTGGAGGAATTTAGATCCTTGTTCAACACACCTTAACAAGGCTTCTTGGCCATAATGACTTTGTTTTACTTTTCAGACTGGAATTATCCTCTACCGATTCCTCAAAAACAAAATTACGCTTTTTTAAAGTATAAAAGATGACATGAATAAAGCCAGTCAAAAAACAATATTTCATTAGCAAATTGTACTGAATTGTTTTCTGCTGAATGGGTGGGAGATTCCTTTGGGATGGGTGTGAAGAAAAGGCAGCACTTGTTTCTTAAACATTTAATTTCCAGTTGCCCTTATCATGCTCCGATGTTTTACCACAATGTATTAAAAATGTACTGCTGATATGCTACAAATAGCTTTCAAAGCTATTATACTTTATTTCTCTTCCATTAGATGAATGTAGTATGACTTAACTAAATTATTTGCTGCATTCTGGGATCCTGCATCGTGATCATCAGGCACTGTTTTCTCAAGGCAGAAATTGAAATGAAATCTACAACAAATGTGTTGTTCTTGGAGGAGTTTGTCACCAAGGGTACTGAGATCCAGCTCACAATGTCCATTCCAAGCATGACATATGCCACAGAAGAATGTGGTCCTTTAATTGAAATGCACATGGAAGCTGTGATTTGAAATATTAAATTACTAGATATCTAAAGCAGCTGTGTATTCATTGTGTGGGCCTTAGAATGCAATTATTTGCATCATATAATAATTATATTTATAATCGGTTTTATTTATAAGTGCTTTTCAAAGAATTCAGAGCACTATACAATAGTACAGGCATAAAAAATCGAAGTAACACAAGTCACACAGTTTATAGATCAGATAGCGCCAAAAGTAAAAAACAATCAGACATTGAAATCTATAGGGTACAGTAAATGCTCTTAAAGTAGTTTTAAACATGTCCACAGCCATAGTATACAGTATCTAATGGGTCTGGGCACTGTGTTCCAAAATCTTGGAGTTACAGTACAAAGAGAAGGCTGTATTGCTCATTGTGCAAGATCAGCAGATCTCAAATGAAGCACTGGACTATACTCATGCAGCTAGTCCACAGTAACCTGAAGCTACACAAGTCCCTTATATGTACTGCACGCAGGATGACTATTCATTTTACTTTGTGACAATGCACAGTTTACATGTGTTTAAGTAAACACATACTGTAAGCCAACACTTTCTGGAAATGAAACGTTATTTAGTACCTTAGAAGATACCCCAGTAAATAAGGCATGACAGTAGTCTCATCTTGATTAAAGGAAAATCGCGTATCATTTCTGCTTTCTGCTGTATGGGAAAGAGCAAGCATCTTGTAGCAAGGAAAAGAAAATGATTATTATAACTCTCAAAAGACAATCCATTTTCTTTGACATTTTGTGTAATCATTTACATCATAAGAAAGAAATTAAGGTCACTCCACATATACAGATGGGAGAATTTTAAAAGCTGTCTGAGTACAGTTACAAAAGCAACATGATAGCCTTCACTTTCTATTTACTATTTCCATAGTGACAAGAAATAATGATGACCAGTTGCATTTTGTTTTTGTTGCTATAATATTGAAGAGTCATTATATATAGTTTTGTAATAAAATATTTACATAGCAATGTTTAATATACAAAGCTGTTGACAAAAATAAACTGAAAAAGCTCTCTTTGTAATAAAAAACAACTGTTAATTACTGCTATAGGAATTGTTAAATGACAAAAACCAGTCCTATGGCACAAATTTCAGTTTTGGGTGAGGAAAAAACAAACGATGGTATAATTCTGGCACTTTGAAAGATTAAGTGAATCTGAGGCAACTGAAGAGCATAAAGCTGGAAGAAACTCTATATACATATATACACATTTGCATTGATAGGCTTATTGCTTTTCTAATATGGAAAGAAAATGTCATAATGTATGTTGAATAACAAAAAAAATACACTTTTCTTTCAAGTATTTTTTCACTTCTTCAGCTGTGTTTCAAATCACAAACTGAGTACTGTACTTTAGCTTCTCTAAAGTAAGTTCTCTAAAGCAAAGACTTGAGGCTTTTCTGAAGGTTCTGAAAGACTGACCCTTCTCAAGATACTACAGATGTGTCACTATTTCACAGGCTTCTCTTTCTGTGCCTTCTTTTTGAAAGGTCAGAACTACAGACAGTTAAGGACATCCGGTATGTGAAGTGCATGGTGACAATAGGGATTTGTTCACTAAAGCACCACTTTGTCCATTCACAGGCTCATCTATTTTAGATGGTATGTTGATGCTGCAAGTTTAAAAAGGCAGCAATTGTCAGTTCTCTTCTTCTGAAGTGGTTGAAAGAACACTAGAGGGTTTTTCTGTGGTTCTTAAAGGACTGAAAATTGCTCTATTCACTGTTCAATTTCTGTTGCTTTACTATGTTTGTACTGATATCGCAACCCACCCAGACTGACGGATTTTCTTTTCTTTCATATCGATTGTGGAACTGTATACAATGCATGTTTATCATGCTCTGTATAACATCAGTCCTAGCAGAAGCTGGTATGATGTGTCTACAAAATTATAAAAATTGACACTTTGATTAGCCAAAGTCAACAGCCTCTTCTTATTTCCTTGTTCAGGGTAGGATTTGGAACATGTCTTGCATTTCAGTAATGAACAAAATCAAATACAGAAAATATTTTAGCCACAAAATTATTTTTGTAAATTTGTCTCTCAACAGTCAGATTTCTGAAAAAGCACACAATTGTACTTACTAACTTTTTTCAGGACTCTTAAATGTTAAGATATACAATATTAAGCAGAAAGTATGACTGACAGTTAGATATTGGCAATTTCTTTTACTTAAAATCTGCATAAGCAATACAATGCCTGCACAGCAGCTAGATTTGACTGAGAATCAATTGCAATTTCTCTTTCTCCGAGAAGGTATACACATATGGCCAGTTTTATAAAGGCATTTTTCAAAAAATGAAAATCATGTGTTTACTTTTGCATATTATAAACCTTTAATCAAAGCATTCTAAAGATTTACAATTACAGTAAGTGCAGAGGGTTTGGTAAGTATGTCCCCAGGTCTCTCAATATGAATGAATTAAATACTAATTACCCAATATTGAGTCAAAGTGCATATCACTGCTTTTTCATAGGGGAACATTGATTAATTACCTGTAAATTATTTTGTTGCTGGAGTTTTTACTGTAAGCAATACAAATTGACCTGGTTCTAGTTTATTAATTCTAGCCATATGACTGTACATATACAGTACAGTACCAATGGGCATTTATTCATACTTTTTCAGCAGAATGTAGCAGATAATTGTGGCTCATGTTAACTGTAAAAAAGGCACTGAAAGGGTAGATATTACAATACATTGTCACATAATCGTGTCTTAAATGTCAGAATGTAGGAGAACTTAATGATAGTCTCTTTGCAGTCTGGAGTTCTCTTTAGTGAAATAAATTCCAATTGAGTAAATAATTCCACTTCATAATCATCGTTCACAAAAAAAGTGAACTGATCAAACTGATTAAAAATAATTAAACTTTGGTATCACACTAATTGAGCTATATTTGGCAAAGTTCTGATTTTCATTGTTTGCACAACCCCATCTGAAATAAGATGAGCACAGGACAGTCTGCGGCTATACTTGAATACGGAAACAATTTCATCACCACAGTGGCAATCTGAGGTTATAAATGAAGGATCCTTCCTTTGCAAAAAAGGCCAATCACCTCTGAAACACCGTTACATTTGGACTAGCTATTAGTAAATCATGGTGATGCAGACATACTGTACCTGTGGACGCCTGTGGAAAACTGTTTCACCACCGTCCTCCCTAGATCATAAACTTCTGACACATCCTTAAAAAAAACATACTTTTATTCTTTTCACACTGAAAGTAAAAGCAAATAAAGTCAATAATACTGTTTCTTTCATTAAGGTCTGCAGACCTTGGATTACGTTTTGGAAGACTATTTTTAGCCTGCACTTCCAGGGTGCTTAAAATATATTTATATGACAAAATAACATTTAGTGGAGATGACAGATGACACAAGAGGTTTAACCCAGACACAGCAATCTGCTTATTCATTTGCGGTGGAGTACAGTTGCACTGGGGCAGGGGGTGGGGGTGGGAGATGGTGATCCAAACTACTGTATATTAAAAGTCCCATACTCATGTCTCTTTGACATTGGTCTTCATCGTGGTGGCCGTGAGTGGCAAACACAGTCACAACGCTCATGGTGCTCCAGGTAGATTTCTGCGAGGCCCATACCCCTTCCTCGACTTTTCCTTCTGAAGAATCCAGGTTCGGGACTGAATTTCAGCACCTAGAAAAAGCAGCGTTGAAATCTCAATTTTTGTTTTTATTTGACCTCCTGGATGCACAATTTGCAACAGCCTTTCATCTATCCATCACAGCATCATCTGAGTGAACTGTTGTGAAATATTTTTACAGACCATTTTGAAAAGAAACCTAAACCCCTGTTCAGTTGTAAAACACACTAACAAAGAAAAAGATAGAAAATAAATAAAACTTCTGAAGTTGTGATTCAACTATGCCATTAACTCACTCATGGAAATAAAACCTCATTACTTCCTAGTAAATTTAGATTTTTGTATTTTGCGTTTTACTATATTATGCACATGTATTTAAAGATGAAATAACTACATTTTCTATTGAAGTTATTAGTAGGTCTGTTACATTATACAGCAAAGGCTACAAGGGAAAAGTATAGTTACACAAGGAGCAAAGTAGTAATTAAAAAAAACATATTTAACTATCTTAAACTACACTATATTAGTCACTAAGAGTGAAAAGCAAATAATTTGAGTCTTTTTATTATCAGGTATCACCCTCCCCACATTCAGATTTTATTTAGCAAATGGGATGAAAAGCAACATGCTAGTTGACTCAATTAATTGCCGTTCAAGCTTCAGTGTTCTTTTCAGTTCCCAGGATTAGCAAAATCAAACACTAATGATCTGAGGGTTTTGTTTTTATTTGTTTCTTAATTAAATTTTCTTCACAGCTTCATGCATTATACCATCTGAAGTTGCTGCAATTGCAACGATACAGGAAGGGAAGATTAAATTATTTTTTCACTTTAATTTATAAGGATGTAATACTGTAAGAAAATAAGAAGGCACTAGACTGATGCCTACATCATTAAACTTTACTTGATTTGTGACGTGAAATACAATGACGCTTCTTATGGAGTGCATATACTGTACAGACACACACAATAGAGTTATTTCATGCAGAAATGATGTCTAATATATGGTGTCCATAAACATTTAGTTATTTCTAAATTCAAACCAATTCAACTTCCTTTAGTACACTATCATGTTAATTGTAACATCTGTAGTAAGGATTTGACTTTTTTATTGACATTTGTGATTACCGTAAGGCAAAATCGGATGTTGATTGACACGTATCAGAAAATTAAAGAATATTTTCTGGCACATGTTTCTGTAGGCATTGCTGGATCTATTGAGCAGACACTGCTGCCAACTGAAGCATATACTTCAGAACTAAGAAGCTACTATCAGAGTAGCTTGCATGTCAGCAAGTTATTATTCCTTTGTTTTCTAGCAGATCTGCTCAATACTAATAGACATGTTGGCTGAATAAACTGACTTTGGCACCTGAAGAAACACTCTAAATGGAGCTATTTACTTGGAGTTAAATGTTTAATACTGATGCAGCCGATGTATTACTTTTTCATTAACAAGCTTACATTGTCAGTTTATAGACGTATTCATGTGAATAAACTGTAGTTCTTTAAGTGTAGAATTTAAGTGCTTATGTCTTGTGTCTCTTCCTAAATCAGTGTATACAGTATCTGTCATACAAAAACTGTTTTTTTCAAGAGAAGAACAGTAAACACAGGTACTGTAGGTGTTTGAAAGGAAAGACCAACAAGAACAAAATGTGTCTAGACTACTTTGACATTAACTTGAATGGGTGTTTTTAATTGGAATTTTCATTTTAAGAATTACTTAGTGATTTTATTATTATTATTATTATTATTAAACTACTGTGATGCAAGTTTAATTTGCAGAAACTTTTGCTGAGAAATTGTAGATACAGTACGTCATTCCGCTGAGTTCAGGTTCATGTAAGCATAGTGGCAGGTACAGATATGCAGCATTTCATCATTTATTGTTTTCTATTTTGCGATTAACGCCTGTAGGATAATTTCTTGGCTGCAGCATAAGGTCAGGTTGCAGAATGCTGTTGAACAGCAAATTCAGTTGCTGTTTGGAGATACTTTAAAACCACCGAGTGATTATTTCAGAAATGGAATCTAAATGCTCGCTAGCATGATAAAAAAACTAGCTTATTTTCAGGCCAAAAATATTAGAGAAAAACTAGGTAGCGGAGCCTGATTTTAATGTGGCGTATAGTAGTTTAGGAATTCTGAGATAATATTATAGTTAAACTGCAGGACAGCTAGGGGATTTTCCCTGTGTTTTATAATAAGAAACATGAACAAGCTATATGTGCAATACTGATAAGAGAAGGAAAATGAATTGGCAGACACATTCCCAGACAAGACAGGAAGCAATGTTTGAACAAAATGGAAATTGGACTGCTTTTTCTCACTGACTCGTGACTCTAATCTTCAAAGGGTTTGTCTGGTTTGTTCAGTGCAATGGCGATGTGTCATTTTTTAAAGTCAGAAAACGTAAAACAAATAATTGCTTTCAGCTTCACATTAACTTTGGATGCAGCAACTCTTTTTTGTCGCCTTAGTTAAGGATTATGATCATGCAGATACTTGGAAAAATAAACCGAAGAGCGCAAAATGATGAGAAAGCAGCACACTGCGAGTGCAGTGACTGATAAGCAACAGACCTCAAATGAGGCTGAATGTAGAGTAAGACCAGAATAATGCTTCTTTTCGTTTATTCTTCAGTGTAGCACGACATTGAATAAGGAGGGCTGAACAGTCTGTAAAACAGTTTGCCTGAACTATTGTGACATGCTTTTCATTAACAGGGTGGATCCAGTTTGGCATCTGCTTCTATGATGCTTGATTTGGAAAGACAGCTCTGATCCCAGCCTTTTTGCCATTATTCAAACAATTTATTGACATGATCCACCCCAGAACTCTATCACGTCACCCCTGTGTTAAGCTGTGAAAGTTACTCAATATCACAGTACCTCATAAAGCTTCTCACTAGTTTTGCCAGGCGAGCAGGTGCAGGAACGCCAGTTTTCCGTACCACAGGCACAGTTTCCCCCACACCGCTGAACGAGGAGACACCGGGGAAAGAAAACCGCATTGGTTGCCTTCAGCTCTTCCCTCAGATTGACCGAATAGTTCCTAGGTGTGCAGCTGTATCGTTTTACATCCTCATTCAGCCTGTCCAGGTCAACTGGAAAAGAAGAAAGTCCCCAAATAAAAATGACAAAAATCAAGTGCAATGCACAGGGGTTAGATCCTTCCAGAAAATTCAAAAACTAACCGCTATTCTGCTACTAATAATTAATTTCCAAATACTGGACTGTATCTTTCAGTTGTATCTTACAATGGATATAATTAAGTGCTGTTTTATAATGCTGAAAGAAAAAAAAGGAGACTAGTTTGTTGTGCCACCTCTAAAGTATGGTTTAATTTAGTCATGGCCTCCTACATGTCCTGACAAAAAAAATGGAAGTTGAACAACCAGGTCTGGGTTAATCGTGGTAAATTCTGAAGGTTACAGCTGTCTGTGTGTGCTTCTCAGTCATGTTAAAGTACATAGGGCCCCCCATTCCCTCCCCTCCTCCTCCTCAAAGAATGATCATACCTCTCTGGAGTAAGAATGTCATCCGTTCCTGGAGGAAAGTCTAACAGGAGGGGTGGGCACAGAACGGGAGGGAAAACATACAAAAGGTAGAGCTCATTTCCTGCTAAGTGAGGCCGACTACAATTGATACGGACAAGTGAGAGGTCATGGCTGCTCTATGCTGGGGCATGAAATGTCATGTATGCCACATTGCAAATTGTCTCGGCTTGAGAAGCTTGCCAAAAAGCACTTTTTTTAAAATCAGTTACAGACAGAGAATGCTTCCATAAACATTTATATTTAAAGTGGTTGCTATTAATCACTAAATAAAGAGTTTTAACTGTTTATTTGAAATTCTTTTTTCCAATCATCGTGGAAGTTCAAAACCTATTAAAAACATCAATGCATTTCTTTATCCCTTCCTATATAGATTATGCATAGCATTGTGATCACTACAGCTACTGTTTTTTTTATGTCTGTGTCATTCACATCCTCCAAATTCCAAATTACTGAAGAGCTGGCATATTAATTTATCTTGCTTAACATTGATTTTTTTTTCTTTAATGAATATAAAAGTAAATGCTGACTACAGTAACATTTCTGCCTGGCTGGTCAGGTTGAATTTCCAATTAAGAGTCCAGAGTACAGTACATTCTGCATTAAGAAACATGGTAGCTACTCCATCATACCAGTTCTGGGGACTTTGTAAAGCCTTTTTAATTGTTTATTTGCGAAATTCTAATACTGGAAGAAGACTGCAAGGCCATGACGTTGAATGTACTTTCTTAAGAAAGAGGAGGCTGCAAGTACACTGTACCTTACACATGATTACTCAAAACATCAGTGACTCAAAAATCAAACTTAAATATATACTTTTTAGATTATAGCTTTACTTTCCAGCTTCTTCTAAATTTGAAGAACTTGGAGTCTCACCATCTTGAGATAAGTTGGCACTGACCTGTGATGGAAATGGTATTCCCTTCTCCAGCAGACAACTCTTCTGAATTGCTACTGTCATGGCAAATTCTGCTTTTCTTTCTCAAGTGTTTTATGCAAGGACAACACATTTCATTTGTAGAAACCATATTAGTGATCTGAATACCACTGAGTCATCTTCTTGAAAAGGCACACCATATTCTGTTTCATAATGCATGCGTAAGTGCAAGACACGAGTTTTCTATGCACTGCTAACGTAATGTGGGAGAGCAGCACTTAAGGTATGATTATGCTAAAGCCAGGATTAAATTGCAGCTTCATCCTGTCTGTTATTTGCCGAATCCAAATATATATCCAAATAACCTGATGACAGCTTTCTGTTTGCCAAACGGTTCCTGCACCTACCACATGGAAAGCTGCCATTACGGCTTTGAATTAGCAGGCAAGACTGAGGTTTTGACATGCCTTAGCCAGGGTAAATTTGTCAAAGGGCTTAGAGCCCTAAGAAAGTTAAGAGAGTTCAAGAGGGCACATTTCCTCCGCGGTGGTGCGCTACGACCGGCTCCGGGTCAGTTTGGAAGGGCCTGGGGGAAAGGTGGCCTGTCGCTCAGGCACCCGCACCTGCGGGGTTGGTTGGGGCCCTCCTCCTCCGGCGCGACTGACGATTGGGGCAGTGGCTTTGTGGCTAAGGATCTGTGCCTGTGGCTGGAAGGTTGCCAGTTCCTATTCTGCGGCCAGCATGGGAATCCTACTCTGTTGGGCCCCTGAGCAAGGCCCTTAACCCCAACTGCTCCAGGGGCGCTGTACAATGGCAGACCCTAGGCTCTGACCCCAAGCTTCTCTCTCTCTATCCGTGTGTCTGTGTCTCAGCTTGTGGAGAGCAGGCTGGGGTATGCGAAAAGGCAAATTCCTAATGCAAGAAATTGTATTGGGCTAATAAAGTAATCTCTTACTCTTGTGCCTGCGCTCGTGGTGAAAGGTCCGGGCTCGGTAATGACCAGTGTCGGTGTAAAGGTTCTCCAGGTCCTCCTGCCACGTGTCGGGATTGAGGTGCTTCAGCAGCTCCTCCACTGTGTCGAACGCAGCGATGGTCTGGTCCAAAGCTGCAGCCGACAATGGGGAATCGGTCACTGATGAGGAAAACACAGATGGTCCCTGGAAAGCCAAGATTCAGATCTGCGTGTTAATCCTCCTTCAGTCTTGAGGATACCGTGAAGTATGGTTATGTTCAATAGGTAGACGAAAAGCTGTCACTGTTTAGTGCTCTGAGAGGTCTTCATGTAATGTGATATCCCTACCTCATTTCTATGCTTCAGCTCCTTTGCTAAATTTGCTTCTCCCCTATTCTCTACTCCCCCGTCTCCTGGCTTCACAGTGTTGAGATTAACTACCCACTGAAATCAGAACTGCTCAGTGCCTGACCACCTTCTGACATCTCCTCGGGACTTATCTGTTTAGACAGCACCTGTGATCTTGTTAACTTTCACCATCAATTGAGCACTCTACTGAAAGTCAATACCTTCTACACTGCAATCAAGACTCCTACCTACGTGTTTGCCACTTGATAGATATTTTCAACTCAGCTCTCCACAAATGTGGTACTCCTAGCATGTCAGCCTCACTGGTTTTTTGTCATTTGTATTTTCACAAATGGCTTTTTTCTGTCTTTTTTGAATGGTTTCTCTTTTATATTTACTTTATGCATTACTGTGTATCTTGAAAGTAACTCTGGATAAACGTAACTGCAAAGCAAATACATTATTGTAATAATAAGGCTGTGTCACGTATCTGTCTGTATTATACTATATTGTACTATTCAGATTACTTATCAGGATCTTATTTTTTAAGAAATGGAAGTGAGAGTAAAAGTAACTGCACTGAGTATGTGCAGATGATTCAAACAGGCACAATTTTTGCACTGTTCCAGTTTTCAGCTCCTAATACATTCCACTGAAACCAACGTCTGACAATAAATGCCATATCACTCCCAAATAAGCATAATAAGAGAATCTATGGTCAGTACCGTGAGTAGACCATTGATAGAATATAAGCATAAAACTGCAGCATACAAACTCTATACTCTACAGGTTATTACAGGAGGACACCATAATCGCTTGGAACTCATTTATTACTGGTAGAGCCATTGTGGAAAATCAAAATGCCTCTAACTACAGTATATAAATTGCTATAGTTGGCATTTAAAGTTAAATTATTTTTAATAAATAAAAATCACAGAATTTAAGTCACCGTCACATTAAATACTGCAAAATTAACATTACAAGCAGACATTTCTGTTGAAAACTTAACACACAATTATTGCCTTTAGGCAGCCTGTTTTAATCAGGAAGCATATTTACATGAGTTGCAAGAACCGACTTTAGGTTCAGTAGTGCTTTTTATCAGTTCCTAATTTTGGTAGCACTTTTGTATAACAGCCCAATTTAAAGAGGATGGAATGACGCTAGTTTCAAGGTGGATAAATTGCTGTCTATTCTGAGATGCTCAATTTTAGATTCGTACTTTTTACAGCTTTTAAGAACTGAAAAAAGGAATCTGAGGAGCTGAGTGACTAGTGAATCCAGCAACTTCTACAGAATGGTGCACACACATGATGCTTCTTAAAAGGGCAATACGTGAACATTCTGTATATATTACAACATTACGGAACATGTACCTTAAAGGTTTATTCCATGCTGAAAAGAAAGGAGACAACATTTCGGCTGTGGAGCCAAAAAGTTGTGTCTCTTTTCTTTCTAGCGTGAAATAAATCTTTACCCGTTCCTTTGCAGCCTATGCATGCTGACACAGCTACCTACTTGAGCATATTACATATTGTGCATTTACCTTGATATCAGTCATTTAATTTGTCATTGATGTAGCAAAATACTTACTGGGACAGAGTTGGTGACTGCTTCCCAATTTGTTTCGGATGCTGCAGGTTGGACATCATCCTAAGAAAGAGATCATAATCCACATTGAACAACTGGTAGATCAGTTTGAATGCACTTTCTCTGTTGCCTTTAAAAACAACTTGCAGTAATGAATTTTTATATAATTCATGAAATTCAACTAAATAATCTTCATAACAGGAAACGATACGGCACTAACGATTGTGTTTATTGAAGACAATATAAAGTTTTCAACTGAAAGATTCAGCTCTGCTTGTTAATTGAAAAAGGAGAAATCCATACAGTATGCCACTCGTTTGAACAGGGGACTTACTGCATACAGAACAACTAGGCAATCTCGCAATCTGAATACAAGCTGGTATTGCTTATAGCCATGTACTGTAGGCCCATTCCTTCTTGTATGTCCAATATATGAGAAAATATTCATTATATGAAACAAATTAAAAACCCTTTCCATTCCATTACTGGAGAAATAAATTCTGAGAAACCATTACACCAACAAATCAATTTGATTTGTTTTTCTACTAATTTTCAAAGTTTGGAATGTCAGTGTGTACTTGTATAGTATATAGGTTTTTAATGTGTCTTTTCATGCTTTGCATAAGTAATATACAGTATTTCATGTTTAGCCAACTATTTTTTTTAATATTACACAGGAATTTTGTGCCACAGAAAGGTTGTGTAAAATTTCGTATAACATAAAGAACAGAAAGGACCATAACTACACATTGTTTCAATACCCAGTTAAAAACTGTCCCTACTATCCTACAGTATGTCCTGACCTATGCATGACTTTAGTACTACCTGTAAACTATATCATCATCAGTGCATTTGGTCTGAAAAACCTTCACAAGGCAATTCTTCTGCGTCACAGCTAGAGGTCATAAGGATATAAAATCATGTTATAAGAATGAATAACTTATGCAGTTGCAAACTGTCATTTTTTTCATTTTCCAAATTTTAGAGGATTTCAGATGGTCAATTTCTAATAAAATGTTTTATCAGTATAAGAAAAATGAAAGCAGATTCTATTATTTTTTAAAATCAATATACTTATCCAAGATTAATTGTATACCTGTTCAAAGTTTAGGGAAAAAAAGTAAGCACAGTTTAGAAGAAACGAGTGTTTCAAATTCCTGGGCACACCTGTAACATTATCTAGTTCAATCAAAATTGGAATCAAAATAAGTTTCTCTGCCAAGACTCCGACATTATTTATAGTCAACTGTAATTACACTAATATCTTGATCATTTGTGTACAGCATATTATTTTACCCCCACAAAAATTGCTTCCTTCAGTTTTTAAACTGGACAACACAGTTTTCATGAAAGTTTGCTCTTCAAAAGATAAAGTAAACCAAAACCTTGGATTCCTTTTATGTTAATATGAGGCACTCAAAACTGATCCTTAACGCAAACCAGAAGAATTTATTTTAGAATCAGTCAGAAACTACAGTGTCCAGAAGGTTGTGATCTACAGCTCTCAAAATCACTCTTTGTGTTTTAAAAGCAATAAAGCAAGCAACATTAAGTACAATGGAACAAGTAATAGGTTTATTCCACGCTGAAAAGAGAAGAAAGAAAATACAACGTTTCGGCCGTGGAGCCTTCTTCACTGTATATTGTGTTTTCTTTCTTCTCTTTTCAGCATAAAATAAACCTATTACTTGTTCCACTTGCAGCCTACGCATGCTGACGCAGCTGCCCAACTGAACTACAACATTAAGATATGATCACTTTATTAGCTATATACAATTTCTTGCATTAGGAATTAGTCTTTTTGCATACCCCAGCTTGCTCTCCGTGAGACACAGACAAGGAGAGAAGCTTGGGGTCAGAGCACAGGGTCAGCCATTGTACAGCGCCCCTGGAGCAGTTGGGGTTAAGGGCCTTGCTCAGGGGCCCAATGGAGTAGGATTCCACTGCTGGCTGCGGGATTTGAACCGGTGCCCTTCCGGCCACAGGCACAGATCCTTAGCCAAAGTGCCATAGTTTGCACATTGCAGTTTTGTTGGAACATACTGTAGGTAAATGTTTGCACATTAAGTACAATCAATCAATCACAATGTAAATATACTGTATGTGTTTCAAAGACAACAATACAGTAATTGAAATTGTGATTTACAGCCCTGAATTGGAAACATGACATCTGGGGTTTCTAGAATAAAATATTTTAGTAGGCGCCTTCTTCTTACGTTATGAGCACACTGTTGGGTAATTTTCTTGTAAATTAATTTAGAGGGATGAACACTGTTCAGTCAATTGTTTTGGAAAGTCCCTGCACCAACTAAGCAACGCCTAAAGGAAACCTCTGATCCATATCTGCCTGTAAAACACAATTACACATAATAGAGGAATTCAATTTCTGAGAGCTGATAAACCTGAATCACAAATTCAATTGAAAAAGGTTAAATGCACACATCAATAGAGTCCACATAGAGGTACATCATGGTTACAAATATTCAGTGAAACTTCTGCTATGGTAAGATGAAGATCTACCTATATCTCTTTTGAAATTTCTGAAAATCTGTAAAATTTGTTCTATTCCTATTCTATTCCAGAATTCCCCTTTGTAGTAAAGTAACATACTGTAGACTACAAAATAGTACTTGTGGCATACCCTACACACTTAGGCTTTTTTGCTGCATTTTATATACTGTATCTTGATTTGAACTTCCAGCAAAAGGGCACATTGGATTACACACATTTATTTTAAAGTATTCTACTTAACATAATCAACAGCCTACCATGAAAAGTTACCGGATACCATTCTGTCTATTCATGGCTCCGGTCTGAAATTAGTATCCATGACTTCAAGATTTTGAAGCGTATGTTAAGTAATACATATAAAATAGCTACTACAATATAGTTCTATATAATACAGTTCCACATTTCAGTTAAGAGCCAAAGAGATTGACTATGAAGAACCTGGAAAAAAGTACTGTATAACTAACTTTTTTTCTAACCAAGTCAGCAGATACTGTCAGAGACTGAAATGTTAATAAATCACAGTTTTCTGAGCTCTTCCCTAGAAACTTTTCAATTGGTAAACACTGTTCTATAAAAACAGGTGTTATTTGTTCAGTGTATTATACAGAACACGAGAAAACATGGCATGGCTATTTTTCCATTCGTCAGAAGCAAACACGGTACAAAATGTAATCTGCTAAGAATATATAAAAATTAGTAAGGCAACAGTCTATCAAATGGTATTTTACACATTGTCTAAAAATTGAAAAGCAAAAGAATTCATGTGACAACTGGATAAGTACAAGTAAAACATCAATAAAAAATGTGTTATTTTTCCAGGGCTATTATCTTTTGAACAGTTGCTTTGGAGGAGTTAAACAACTGTCAAGCAGATAAGACCTGAGGCCCCTATTATTTGGCATGATTCATGCTACATTGCTATCTCTACATGTTACACCTAAAGGTTTTGTGGAATAAATTACATTCTCAAAAAATGCAGTTTCATAAGGGTCTGTGGTTTCCAGAGAAAAAAATGGGTAAATGAACCGCAGAATGTCTCTCACATACTGTGGTTTATCTTAGAAATATCTTATCTTTTTAAAGATATTCAATAAATATAAAAGTCCTGTTTGCTGTGTGTCCGTTTGATCTCGATGACATCATCATTCTATATTTAAGGTGCATCATTATTTAGTGAGCTAGCAGACGCTCACAAACAAAAGACAAAACTACCTGAATATATTCAGAGCAGGTACCTCAGGTCATTGCAACCTGACAGAAGCAGTGGCAATAGACTTTAGTGTCTTCTAATTCTGATCCTCTAATTGAGTTCTGACAGGCTGTGATTTCTCAACACTGGCGTTTTTGCTTCTGTGTGAAATGTCTCTCCATGCTAAAACTGACATTTTGGTTTTCTTGGTGTTATAAATGGTGTTTTAACAAATCTACAATATGTTTGTGATTTGTCAAATGCTCTCTGGGACACCTTTTCTCTGCTTAACATATGGTATAATCTTGTTTTTGCACCTTTTCAGAACTTGCTCAGTCTGTGCTCATTATTTTATCTGCGATTTATTAAACAACATTACCTGGACAAATGATTGGCACATCCTGCTGAAGCATTTAAATATTGTACAGTATTTCCAAAGTGATTTCTTTATATTTTAAAATAACCACAGGCCTCAAGGGAGCAATAATAATGCAGGGTTAACCCAGCTGCCATGAGAATAATCAGCCATTAGTAATTACTGTATCTACTTCTGGTGGGAATCCAAGAGTAATCCTGTTGTGCTCAGATGTTTTGAATTATTATACTGAATTCAAAGACCTGAAAAAGGATTCACAATTGCTGTCACTTACCATGAGAGAGTAATACAGTTTGAATCCTGGTTTGGCCACAAAATAATCATCAGATTTAAAGGTGATTTTAATTGTATTTGTTTTTGACGTTATCCTTGGAGGGGTTTCCTTATGTCCACACCATCTTCCCCGTATAATTGTGCTGGTCTCTGATAAATCCTCAATTTCCACAAAATCATATCTGCAAGGCATTGGGCAGAAAAAAAACATTTTAATAATAAAGAGTTTTTTCAATGAATTCCTCTAAATAAGGAAGCATTTATTTTTAACAACTCAGAAAAATAAAGTCCCCGAGTGTCAAAACCCAGAAACAGCAGCAAGGAATTCCATGAAAGACAAAAGCTTTTTTTTTACTACTACCCTAACTGCAGTAAATAATCAAGTTGGTGTTTCCTTAATGGGAAGATATCTGACTAAAATGTTTATCATCTTAGTTCCTTTCTTTTCTGCTTCTTAAACTGGTTCCCATGGACACAGTAGAGGTCTCACAAGGCTTTAGTACAGAATGTAAAAAGGAAGTGCTTGAATAAGGGGCTGTGGCAATGGCTAACTTATTGTTTTGCCTCTATATCAGCCATTTCCCAGAACAGGCAAATACTTTGTATACAAGATAAAAAGCTGAGATTGATATTACCAAAGACATCACTCTAGTTAATTCCAAAATGCAGTCACACCCTCTACATCATATCCTAGTTGTATCAAGTCATGATATTGGGTTGTTAAATTGATACTGTTACAGAAGTTCAAAACTGTTGAGT